CCATCAATCTAACAGTTTTAAAATGTGAATGCTAGGGAGCGGTTTCCACACCTTTACAAGAAATGTTTCGTTTCCCTCTCAAACCAATATGAGATCTCACACGAACGTTTTCAAAATCTAGCAAAGTTTTGAAAAGTAAAAGATTTCAATGAAAATAACCACCATTCTTAAAAACAAACGAACTCAAATCGTTCGTAAACTTGAAAGAACATAGAATGAATTATTACAGGAAGAATCTGACCCATTTTTTTCACTGAAATCTTCATTTTTTTCCCTCTTTCTCTATCTCTACCTCTCGGGTATCGTGTTTGAATCAGTAAAGTGCTTTTTCTTCCGTATTTGTATGAATCGATATCATTACACTCTAATTCCTTTTCAAATCGAAAAAAAAAAACGAAAGAAATTAGGGCGAAATGGAATGATGGGTCGGGATCGACGGGTGGGCATGGATCCCGAGGAGCAAAGGATTCTTTTGGAGAAATGATGGGATAGATCGATCGGATCCTTTGGATCATAAAAAAATTAAACAATCTTCAAAACGATGATGACAGAGTTTACAAAAGGAAAAGGAAAAGGAAAGAGATATGTGTGTGTTTCTATTCTTTTGAGGGACTCCTTAAAAGCATTCAAAATGCAAATTATTTCCAAAGGCTTTTGCTTTTTCTACCTTTCTCTACCATTCTCCATCTCGATAAACTCGGCTCGGTTCTAGTTTTGCATGGTTAGATGCATGAAAGAGTATCCAATTTGTGTTCGGTGGTATGTTATTACAAATATACAGTTTCTCGAGTTTAGATATTAACTGTATCAAAAGAGCTACAAGTTACGTTATAACAGTATCGTTAAATGGGTTTTTAGGGTTTCGTGGTGGATTCGAGAGAGAGGAAGGAAGAATTAAGAATTTCGGATAAGACCCATTTCGAGAATCATTCAATACTCCGAGAGAGAGAGATTACTAAATCGTTTCTTTAGGGTTTTAGAGTTCGATTCGAGAGAGAACTCATTTCGGGTATCACTGAACACTCCATCTTAAGACAAACTATGACAGGTTTTGGGGAAATTAAGGTTGTCGACGGTTTAATAGGTATCTAAGAACGTACAAACATTTTAATATCAAAGATTATTACGAGATAGTCGTATCGTAACAAATACGTGGGGAGAGACAAAGTTTGTAGAGAGGGTGAGCTTTTGCAGTGTTTAGGAGAAGAAAGTAAAGCAAAATTGAGCAGCGTTTTTTATGAACTCTCTTTTTTGCTTTTATATGTAATGTGAACTTTGCATGAAAGTAAGGGATTTCTTGGATCTCCCACCAATCTCTTCAATAATCACTAAATAATTAACAAAACTAAATATTAAAATCAATCCTAATCGATAATATCGAATCTATAGATCGATGGAGATATCGACGTATTGACTAATTCTGAATTAAGGGTATACATGAGTTGGTTGGGTTGGTGACCCAAATTACCTTAATCGAGTTCGCAACCCAACCCAACTCAACCCAACCTTCTGTTTTCGAATTGGGTTAGGTTCAGTTGGGTCGGGTCGTCAAATTGTTATTTTTTAAACATGAGTCGGTTAGATTGATGACCCGGGCTACCTGAATAGAGTTTGCAACTCAACCCAACCTTCTATTTTCAAATTGGGTTAGGTTGGGTTTGGTCGTCGCCAAAATTTTATTAAATTATTTTAAAAATTATATTTATCCATAATACATGATACCATAATAACTAAAATTTCATAAAATTCAAATATCACACATTTACGAGTCACAACACATCACTGATATCGAGTTGGTCTAGTATCAAACATTTACGAGTCACAACACATCACTGATATCGGTTACAAACATTAAAAGTAGGGTTGAGTTGAGTTGTAACCCTATTTTTGAATTGGTCAAATATCAAACATTTACGAGTCACAGCACATCACTGAATTAACTTGTAACCCTATTTTGGGTTGGTCGGATTACCGGGTTATATGAACAGTCTTATTTTGAATCGAACATTTTTTAGTTCAACTCGTCGAATATGTGTTAACGAGTTGAGTTATACTGAGATTAATGAATGTGGGCAGAGCTAAAACGAGTACGTTATAAAGGTGAATCCGACGAGGAGAGAGAAAGAGTAATGGGTAGGTTTAAAGGGAGGAAGAGAGTGTGGAAAGAGCAGTCAAAAGAAGGGATGAAGTATGAAAGTTAACAAGAATAAATTTACGAGTGATCCAATGCCTTCCATCATGTTGGTTTCAATCATTGTTTGATCGCTTTATTATTATCTTTTTTTTTCTTTCTTTTTGAAAAAAAAAAAAGGAGAAAAGATTCTGTGGTACTCCCATAGTACCATTTATATGCAACTCAATGAGCAAAAGGAAGAAAAATAGATACCTATCCTATATCATAATTCTACATTATTCTAATAATTAATTGTCGTTGTTTTAACGGGACGTTGTTTTGACAAAACCGACGCTTACCCAGAGAAAACCGATGCTTACCCATGACAAAATCGACGTGGGATCTCACAATCTATCCCCTTAGGAGTCCAATGTCCTCGATGGCACGCTGTCTGGTTTTTGGCTTTGATAACAAAAAGTGAAGGTGGTCGAGTTGGTGTAAGGCGTCAGTTTATTGTGAGACCCACATCGGTTGTAGAGGAGAACTAGGTATTTTTTTAGGGGTGTGAAAACATATCTCTAACAAACGTATTTTGAAATCGTGAGGTTGACGACGATCGTAATAGGTTAAAATAGACAATATCTGCTAGTAGCGGATTTGGGCGATTGTGAATGTTTTTTAAAAAATTTAGAAATTGTGTTGGAATTTGATTGTATTGAAGAAAGGTAGCAAGGAGCTTTATTTATTGCCCTAGCATCTTGTCTTCTTCTCTTGTATTGGAGATTCCCAATCCTAGGACTCCAATTTTCAACCACTATTTGATGGATAGGGAAACTTCAGGTTTTTTTTTTTTTTTTTTTTTTT